CCAACTCAGATCTGAAAAAAAATGAGTGGATGGTTGTTTTCTGACTGGTCGGCAGACCGCCGACTGGTCGGCCCTACTGGTCGGCCCTACTGGTCGGCTGCAATACGGTCGGCGGTCAGGGTCGGTGGTCGGCAGGGATGCAACCATGCCTCAGAACAATTTCGGGGGTGGACATTGGACTCTGTTCCTTAGTCAGGAGCCATGACCTCTTCAGCACCGAGGATGTTGGCAATCAAAAAAAAAAAAAAAAAAAAAGACAATCAGTCCAGCAGCCTGGTGGCCTCTGTTCTCGCGCAAAAGACTCAGTGCGCTCTTCCCTGAGAGCAGCTTGTTTTTGTAGACCGGGCCTGGCTGGCACCTGGGCCCAACCTTCAGTTGGTGGCCGTCTTGGTCAAGGTGCCGGGGGCTGGCAGGGCCCATAGGCCTCAAACACCTGATCGACCCTCATAAAAGCTCCCTTGCCACCCGCCATTCCCCACCCCACCACCAATTAAAAGGGAAGCTTGCTTGGGCCTAGATTGTGCTAAAAGTAGTAATTTAAAAAGAAGCTTCTAGTCTGTTACTGTGTTTTGGGGCTACGCCGCTACGGTATAGAGTAGGTACGGTACGCCAGAGGTCCAGTGTGACAGTCGTCTTCGCACGAATAGAACATCTGGTCGTTATAGCTGCATTTGGGGCAGGTTGCAGTCCAGATACATAATGTCAATATGTTCTATATGGGGGAAGACAGCAGTCCGAGAACCTTCAGGCATTCAGGCATAAGAAACTTGCAGACCAATCCTTCCTATTGGCCATCTTTGCTGATAACTCCCTGTCTGGATAACTTCTCGAATATACCCTCGGCCTGGTCAGGTATTTTCGAAGAAAGATCAAACACTGACCCCACGAGACCTGAAGTTTACAAGCAAAGCCCAGGACACACATGCGATGTGCAGAAAATCTGCCTTCATGCGCACTTTTTTTTCTTTTTTTTTTTAATAACACAGGCTCCATCTATTCGTGGGAAGCATCACGTGCTGACTTCATGTACACTAAAACCACTGTCATGCTAGATATGTTACATTTTGCTGTGGCTGGAGGCTTAGGTCTTGAGTGGACCTGGAGGCTACAAAACAGCAGGTCGTCGCACAGGAGGAAGAGGAGGAGGAGGAGGAGGAGGAGGAGGAGGTGGGCCAGGAGGAAGGGAGAAAACGAAGAGAGAAGGGGGAGGAGTAGGAAAAGGAAAGGACAGGAAAGGAGAGGAAAGGAAAGGACAAAGCAGGAGGAGAGAAGAGGAAGGAGGAAAGGAACAAGGAGGAGGAGAAGAGGAAGGAGGAAAGGAACAAGGAGGACGAGAAGAGGAAGGAGAAAAGGAACAAGGAGGAGGAGAAGAGGAAGGAGGAAAGGAACAAGGAGGAGGAGGAGAGGAAGGAGGAAAGGTGAGGAAAGGAGGAGAGAAGAGAAAGGAGGAGGAGGAGGAGGAGGAGAGGAGGAAAGGAACAAGGAGGAGAAGTGGAAGAGGACGAAGAGGACAAAGAAGAAGAAAGGAGAAGAAGAAGAAGAAAGAGGATAAAGAAGAAAAAGAAGAGTAAGAAGAAGAATTGAGAAGAAGGGACAGGAAGAAGGGAGAAGAAGAAGAAGAAGAAAGAAGAGGATAAAGAAGAACAAGAAGAGTAAGAAGAAGTGAGAAGAAGGGACAGGTAGAAGGGAGAAGAAGAAGAAGAAGAAGAAGAACAAGAACAAGAACAAGAACAAGAGGAGGAGGAGGAGGAGGAGGGGGAGGAGGAGGAGGAGGAGGAGGAGAGGATAAAGAAGACGGAAGAAGAGTACTAAGAAGGAGGGAGAAGGAGGGAGAAGAAGAAGAAGAAGAAGAAGAAGAAGAAGAAGAAGAAGAAGAAGAAGAAGAAGAGGAGGCGGCGGAGGAGGAGGAGAAGAAGAATGAACAGGATAAAGAAGAAGAAAGGAGAAGAAAAGAGAAGAAGAAGGGAGAAGAAGGGAGAAAAAGAGGAGGAGGAGGAGGAGGAGGAGGAGAAGAAGAAGAGCAAAGGAGGGGAGGATCAAAGAAGCAGAAGGAAGGAGAAGAAGAAACTTACATTCCAGAAATAAAACTCTGAATTTCGCTTGATATTGATAATGATTTTACACTCTGTTTGGAGATAATTTGTAGTTCTATTAGCTTTCTGTACAGCTGTGAGGCCAACAGAAGCAATGGGATCATCTGCAGCGCAAAAGATGATGTGACTCATGTCAGCAAATGACATAACAACAATGACAACAGCACATGACATTGTGCTCAACAGAGACCACCTCCCCCCCCCTCCCCCCAATAACAGCTGATAATATGGACAGCGACAGAACAGTATGTTTGTGCTCCACGACTTCCACGTTGATTTAGTGCCTCGCCACACCACTCGCCACACCAGGGGTGTTATTTTCGACGAATTTCGCACCGAAGCTGTCACATTGTCCTGAATTTTTGCTTTTGTTCTTGTTTTTCTTTTTGTGAAACATTTAACGGGGGTCAAAAATTTTGCCGTTTTCGGCAGCAATTTCGGTACGAAATTCATCGAAATTTTAAAAAACAAACAATATGAGCCCATGGTGCAAACATCAAAAATAGAAACAGGCCAAAGAAAACAAAACAAACCTCATGTGTCCAGTTTTGACATGTTTGGATCAATGATGAAAAAGTTGGCATTTCGTTGAATTCGTTGGATGCTTCATTTTAACTCGGACAGCAGGGTTGCATACCCGCTGACCGCCTGGTGCCGACCAGCCAACCGGTCGGCTGGTCGACATCCGACCAGTGAAGGGTCGCCGACCGCAAACCTTGTCGGACATTGTTTTTGTGTTAGGGTTTTATAGTGTGTGTTTTAGATTTTCCCCACAACAGCCCCAATTCCACCCAGGTGAATAGATTCATACTATTTCATAGTCAAAGCAGTCTTTGCCCTATTGCAGACAACAAGAGCATTTGAGATGTCCAACATATTAAAGCAATTTTGTAATTAGACAGTTTTTTGGTTATCCCTGGGGTACCCCTTTCATTGTTCTTGCAGCTCTCCTTTTACTGTGCCTCTTACACACAAGGCTGCCCACGTTGATTGTGCTTGAGCAGCAGCTGCCCACATCCCCGTGTATCTGCACGGCCCACTTGCACGTTATTTCAGGAGGCAGAGTAAAAGGGAAGGTATGCTCCTGTGCATCTCTTCAGAGCTTCATACTCCTGTTCATTTCACTTCAGATCTTCAGCTTATACAGTCTTTGTGTCCGTCTTTCATCTTCATACTTCCCTTCATTTCATTTATGATCTTCATATTGTCTATTCTCTTAACGATGCTCATTCGTATGTTTTTGTTACTAGTACAAAGGGAGTGGAGGGGAGGGTGGAGGGTCAGGGATAGAAGGCAGAGTTCTCTAGGAGTATGGGGCAGGGGAGGTAGGGGCAATGGGAAGGAAAAAAATATGTGGAGGGCAGGATAGAGTATGACATGCAAAGAGCAGGGGAAAGGTGTATGACGGGTTTCACAGACTTCTAAACATTCACCGCTGAAAAGAAATTAACTATGGCCAGTGGCCACCCCTACAGACCAGACAGGACCGGTTCGGGTGTGGGCTATGGAAGCACCGCATCCAATTTTTGCAGTCACAGTTGCTGCATCAAATGGCACGGCGCAGACAGATGTCACAGGCTACGTGTCTCGTACATGCTAGGAACACAAAGGCACGTTGTTGGGCGGCTCCAGCCTTACGCCGCCCTTTACTTCCTTAAAGATAACTCTTGAGGAGAGCTGGATTCAGTTTCTTTACCTAGCAGGATTGCAGTCGACATCAAAACGATACGATATCAGATTCGCAGGACAAGTGTCGAGGCCGAGGTGTCAAGAAGAAGCGGATCCATGATTCTGAGTGACCGTCCCTTTATGCGCACCATTGAGGCATATCGATGACAAGACACAAAGGAATGACTACTACAAAGGAAGTGTCGGAGGCTCAAATGAAGGACAAGGACGAGAGGGCCGGACTCGTATAAAGAGTCGGGCGATGAGCCGAACAATAGAGGACCCAGCTCTTGAAACGAGCCTTCGGGCGGGCTAAGCGGCGGTAACAACGAAGTTCATCGCTGGAACAATATCGAACGAAAAAAACGCTACGCAGGCATGTTCAGAACCGTTGCATTTGAGTTGTACGTGAGGCCTAAAAATGGCCGCGGGCCTAACGCCGGCAAAGGGGTGCCTCAAACCACATAATTATTTATTCCGGGGATTGGGCCCTGCGGATTTCTATGAGGCTGGTACCTTTCTGCATGGGGACCACGAGGTCCAGGGCAGGTTGGGCCTAGGTTCGGCATGAGCCCCGGTACGGTGGCGCTGCAAAAGGCCCGGTACCTGATAAAAAGGCCCCCTTCATTGAAAACCCTTCAGGGGCCCAAACAGGCCCGGGTACAGGCTCGGGGAAGCCATAGTACCGGGGCGCTGCAACTTGTCGGCAGCCTCGGAGCGCACAGAAGGGCTGGGGACTCCGAGAAGAGGGCCCGCAAAGTATATAAACCCAACCGGGCTCAAAGGTAGGGGACTTTTTCGGACATGCGTACTTAAGGGGCACTAAAGACTCGGGAGGGCCCACTTGCGTACAGGGAGGCGACAGGAGGGGACAGGGAACAAGACACGTGCGCACCTTAGTTGCGTGGACGCGCATGCAACCTGCGCACCGTACATGCACGGATCTAGAACAGGTGCGCTTAGGTGCACGACATCAGCGTCGGGTGCATACATGTACTCCGTAGATGTGGCCGCGCAAACGAGCGCGCACACACGGGCGCTGTGAGGCGGGGCTGTGTGCACCAGCGCGTGCACACACACACTGTAACTGGGATTGCACACGGGTCGAGAAGAGCGTGGCCCGCGTGCATGGATCGAGGAGAGCGGGGGTGATCACTCGCGCGCACGTGGGCAACTGAGCACGAATCGAGAAGAGCACGGGAGATCGCGCACGCACACTCGCGCAATCACGCATGGATCGAGAAGAGCGCGGGGATCGCGCGGAGAGCGCGGGTGATCGCGCGCGCACACATGGGAAATCGCACACGGATCGAGAAGAGTGCAGGGGGATCGCGCGAGCACAAGCGCCCAATCGTGCATGGATCGAGAAGAGCGAAGGAGATTGCGCACACACACACAGGAGATCGCGCACAGATCGAAAAGAGCGTCAGGGATCACGCGCGGATCGAGAACAGCGCAAGGAATTGCGTGCGCACACGTGCGCAATCACACACAGATCGTAAAAGGCGCGGGGATCATGTGCGCACTCACGCGCAATCACGCACAGATCAGGAAGGGTGGGGATCGAGAAGGGCGCGCACAACCGCGTGGTATCGGGGCGAGCGCGCACGGCCTCGCGCGCTAGGACGTAACTTCGCACGGGCGCACTTGCACGGAAGAGATCGGAACGCGGGGAGAGACAACGAGCATCAACGAGCACCACGCGCGTTCGAGAGGGACGCGAGAGGTGCTTCGCGCACAGGTGTGAGCAACGACGTGCGCTTGCGTACAGGCGAGAACGGGTTCGGGCACAGCACGCCTGGAGGCACACTTGAAATGGGCCTTTCGGGGGCAGCGGGACACCAGACTCTACCGGGTCTTTGGACGCATGCTGGGACATTTGACGCGACCGGGATTTTGGGACGGCACGGATTGGGACTTTGAGACTAACCAAATGGGGACCTTGGGACAGGGGCCGTGACTCCAAGCGGACCAGGACTTTGGGACGGACCGAACCAGGACTTTGGATACAGGCTTGGGACACAGGACCTAGACTGAACGAATCCGGACATTCGAGCAGACCGGGACTGCAGGACGGGCGAGAACATTGGGTACGGACCTATGTACCGACCTTCGAGGGCGAGAACGGGGCTCTTCCGAGGACGGGACCAGATTCAAACCGGGGCCACCCGACCCAGCCCGATGGTATCAGATTCGGACCGGGGCTATCAGACCCAACCCGGTGGTATCAGATTCGGACCGGGGCTATCAGACCCAAGCTGGTGGTATCAGATTCGAACAGGGTCTTTCAGCAGGGACCAAAGCTTTGGACCAGAGTGCGCTCTGGAGCGAGCCAAAACTTCGGGCACAGGTCGAGCTTGTGGGCCCGATCGAGACTTCAGGCAGGATCAGGACCTTGAGTGCAGTTTTGGACTTCGGGGGGGACCCAGATTTTGGATGAATCCGGGACTTTGGATGAGATCGGCAATCTGGGTCAGGCCGGATTTTATGGATAAGACCAGGACTTCGGGCTTTGGACACTGCCATGACCTCTAGATTAGGCTGGAGCACTTGTGGCAGCGCTAAGGCACTTGAGATCGTGCCGGAGACATTGTTGGCTGCGAACGGGACCGCGACTGATAAGGGACTCTACGACAGACAACGGGCCGCGACACGTGGGCCGAAGAAGAGCGCGATCAGGACTTTAGTTTGAGGAGGGCCGTAACACGGATAGACTTATGGTGAAGCTTGACCTTGAGCTATGGCCTCAATGGGCACGGGAGTCCTGTTCAAACACGAAGAGTACCACTGCTGTTCCATGGGACCAGCGGGCCCATTACCAACGACACCCGATAGGGAGGCGGATTCGACGTAGGATGTTTGTGCGGTCGGTCGACACTCAGACCGATTTCCCCGACTTGGACATGCAACTTAACTCTGGGGTTGGGAGAAGCGCGGCGGACCCTATTGTTTCAGACTAAATGGAAATGTACTTTTTATTCCCTCCAAACGCTGTTTTGTGAGGACATCATGGTCGACGGTGGCGTCTTCAGTCGATTTCAGTGGTCATTGTGTGGATTTGGACTAACTCTGTTTCTTGCAGGTTACAGGAGCCCCGACCAACGCTCCCGTGGGTGACAGACACGGGGTATAGAGTTCGGTTCGGCGTGCCGGCAGAGCACTTCTTCCTATAGAGGCATTGCCGATCCAGCCCGTCTTCAAATTGGACATGACATGTCGGGGTGCCGTACATGAGTACAGTACTGACTGTCATCGTACGTATGGAAGCAAAAACTCGCATGGACTATACCTTCATAATCCTCACGACACAAGGCATGTGAACCACATGCTAGTTGAATCTCTGGCTGGTCATCATTAGTATGGAAGGCTGACGTGCACAGTTGTTTAAGCATGGCAGATCAAGGCCACAACAGCATGCTGGGCAAGTAATCAGGGGATGGGGGGGATGAGCACTGGACTGGGGATCACAATTTTCGTGTGAGAGGCTAGCAGCAACCATCCCCTCATAGTGTTCGGGGCAGAGGCTATATCGTGTACATGCCAACCGAACTGTACCTGTGCGACAACACAACTGGAGGGCACAGCCATCATCCTGTGGAGAGGTCCTTTCACTGTTTGTGGTAGAATCAGCCCGATTGCTCTCCAGGGGGTGCAGTGCTTGCAAATGCTCATCGACATACTGTTCCTGATGGATGAGCCAGACTGAGTGACCCTCCAGCATTTGGTGATAGAAAGAGTTAATATTTCCCACTGTGTGCACCCTACCGCTATTGTCCCATAGGGTCCATGAATTATCTGCAAAGGTAAGAGCACTGAAGTGACCTGAGCGATATAAGATATATACCGTATTATACCCGAATATTCGGATCCATGCCTGGCTTGTGGTTTTGCGGAGCAGGCTGGAATTGCAGTCGCCTACCCAAAAATGCCATAGCCAGGACTTCTATGTTCACCCCAGGCGCATCGCTGTCGTCGTCTGGGCAGACGGCACGGTGCTCTTCTTCTATCCAGCTCACAACGTCTGCGAAATTAGCAACAGTATAAGGCTTACAATTGTAAGCAAGGAGACATACATTAATGGCATAGTACGCACAGCGCCCTCGCTGTAGCGCTATGACATTGTCTGATTCCGCAGGTTGGGTGGGGGATCCGTTTCCGGCAGGGGGATCCCCGTTCGATTCTGCAGGTTGCCCAGGTGGCGGAGACTCGTTGTGGTCTTGACCAATTGGCTCCGGTATGTGCTCCACAGAGAGATGATCTTCAACCATGGGCTCCGTCAGGTAATCAGGAGACAGGCCATTGTCATTTGGGGCAGGGGAGCGAGTGGGGCTGGGTGGATGACAGAGGGGCAGTTTTTTTTTTTTTTTCCCTTTGGCCTGTTTCTTTTTTTTTTATGTTTGCACTATGGGCCCATATCGTTTGTTTTTTTAAATTTCGATGAATTTCGCACCAAAATTGCCGGCGAGAACGGCGAACATTTGGCCCCCCATGAAATGTTACACAAAAATAACAACAAGAAAAAAAGCTAGGGAGATATCCCGGGGCCCGGGCGTCCGGGTCCCGATGTCACACCCGGATTGGCGACCGGGTGACCGGCCGGGCATGACCCCTGGGCATGGCCCCGGGCAGCCCCAGTGCAAAAAAAAAAAAATAAAAAAAATTCAAATCCAAAAAAATCTGAAAAAGAATTTGTTGTGTAGAATTGCAGTACAAACAACTTTATTTATTATTATTATTATTTTTTTTTTTAAGCTTTGTTCTTCTCTCAATTTCACCTCACACTACCTACCTACAAACAACTTTTGGCTGAGGGTCACATCAGAATTCGTCACAGGACTAAAGATTAAAAAAATAACCATATCACACTAAAGCACCCCGATTTAAACCCCTTTAGCCCCTTTAAAATTCATTTACACTCCCCTTTCTCCCCTTTGACAGCCAACACTCAAAAAAAGAAAGGAGCCTCTCGGAGAGCGCGGAAAAACCCCACCGCCATTTTTTTTATTTTTTTTGCCATGACCGGGTCATCCGGGCGTCAGACCCCCCCGGGCGTCACGCCCGGGTGACTGGCCGGTCCAGACCGGCCGGTGGTGAAAATCTTCCTAGAAAAGAAGCAAAAAAATCAGCACAATGTGAAAGTTTCGGTGCAAAATTCGTCCAAAATAACACCCCTGGTTAACCACATGTTGTAATGACCCGCCATAACACAGACTGAGAACACTGCTGATTTCTAAAGTTCTGCCGATGGAATGGATGCCTTGCTGAGATTCCCGCATTCTGCTGAGTTTCTAAGTCTGTATGTGTGCGTGCTTGTTGACCTGTGCACCTGTCTGAGTGATTGTCGGCATGAGTGTGTGTGTGTGACCCGCAAGGGTACTTGCTTGTTTGGGAGGCCCGTAGGGCTGGTACTTACCTGTGGCCGTGATATTGAGGGCTGCAGCAGGGAAAACAATCAAGTGGCGGAGCCAGGGGCCCGCGGCACTTAGAGCAGCGGAAAAACACTGAAGTAGCAGGTAGGCCAGTACCGCACCCCAGTAGAAGTAGATGTGCCGGGTACTCAAGGCCGAGCAGAAGAAGACAAAGTTGGCATTTTTAGAGGCCGAGTAGCGGTAGGCTAGGTGTAGGCCGGTACCAGTCCAACCAGTCTGAGTCTAGAGCCTGCACGGGCAATATCAGAGTCTGCAATGATGTTTCCCTCCGAAAGGGAGGAGGTACCGGTTGATTGGGAGGCCGAGCGGCCTGGAAGTCACCGCCCAGGAGGCAAGTAGGCCGCTATATCAAGAGGCCGAGGGAAGAGCCCGGCCTCATTCTTCAGTGTGCAAGTTTGGCGACACTCTGCTGGAGCACTGGCTGGAGGAGCGCCACCTTGGCTATGGTGGAGCTCTACCGGTAGGAGGAGGAGGGAGAAGAGGACCAAGGAGGAGAGTGGCGAGGTACCTACCTGGCTATGGTGGACACGATCTTCATTACCGTGTTAGGCGCTGCATCAGGAAGGCCCAGTTGAGGTAGTGCCGCATCAAGGAAGCTCGGGACAGAGTCAGGCATGGTGGCTGAATGGGCAGCGGCATAGCTGCCTGGTGTTGACCTTGGGACAGGAGGGCAGCAACATAGCTGCTTTGGGTTGTCCTTTGGACAGGAGGGTAGAGCCCTCAGTACTCCGCCATAGCCTCGGCCTACGTGAAGAGGAAGAGGAAGGGTGGCCATGGCTATGGTGGACCTCATGCTGTGCCTGCAGTAGAAGTGGGATTCGGACATTGATTCTGGTTCAGCTATTCAACATTATTATTGTTATTTCTTGTTTGAATAAGAGGGGAGGAGATACGGAGGAGGAGATTGGTTGGCGAAGAAGAAGAGCATTATCTTTGGTCTATGCTGGAGTACATCATCTTCTTCTTCTTTCTTTCTTTCTTCTTCTTCTTCTTCTTTCCCTCTCTCTCCTCTCAAGTTCATTCATTTCTTTTTGCAATTGGACGGCATTGTACTTTCTGATGAATGTATACTTCGAAATTGGCCAGGATCGTAACAATGTGGTGAAATGGTAGACACTACATACCTGCTGAGCAGTTCTCTACGAGTTTTAACTCATACAATACAATGTCACTGAATGCAAAGTAGTTCGATGAACTTCAATCAGAGTGCATATTGCCAGGAAATGGTGCGTAATACGTACCTGCTGACCAGTTTGCGAAGAGTCTAACCATACTACTGTTGGTGCTCCCAGTGTTGTTTTTGTTGCAGTGCCATCGCATTGACAAGAACGACCATGTTGTAAGCTCGTCGCTGGGAAGAGATGCCGCCTCTGCGGGATCCACCTTTCTGTTTGGAAATGAATTCACCGCCAAGCTCGCAAGATTCTTTCCCAAAGCACTTTCAACGAGGTAGGAGGCTCCATCTGGCATAGAGATATCTATATGGAGTTCCTGGTGACAGGGAACAAACAGATGGACAGACAAACAGACGGACAGACAAACAGACAGACAAACAAACAGACAGACAGACAGACGGACAGACAGACAGACAGGCGGACAAACAAAGATCAGTTGGTAAGTCACGCAAGTGGCATTCAGGAGGTCTTGGGTTCAATTCCCATTGGTCTGATGTACCTTCTTGGGCAAGCTTGGCGCCCCCCACCAAGAGATAGGCCGTTGGTCCCCGAGTGACATTTAGCAGAGACTGTTGATGTTCATACGGAGAGGGGGCCGGAGGGGAGGCACGGCGACTGGCCCATCGAAGATGCTCGGTCCTGATGCTACCGGCTGACCCCTAGCAGGTATCGCCCACCTGCTGTAGCAGGTACTGGTGGGTGCAGCTCCCGCATGTTCCCTCGTTGGAGGCTTGAGCACGGATGTTGCTGCTATGAGGTTCCCCGTAATACTGCTATAATGACAATAAAAAAGGGTTGACAGACCGTCCTGTCGAGATTTGACAGGTAATTTAATTGGTTGGGCTTAAAAGAATCAGCCTTTATAAACACACAGCCACAAAAAAAAAAAAAAAAAAAAAAAAAAAAACACCGAAACAAACTAACAAACAAAGGTGCATTTGACGGTTCTGATCCGCACCTCGAGCTCATCCTTTGCGGCTCTCACTACAGCAATGCTGGCCTTCCAGCTGGCATCAGAAATGAGAATAAACTGGCCTAAGACAATAGGATGGTGGCTGAACTACGGTGAAGGCGAAGGACAGAGACCGGATAACACCCCGGAGGGAACACAGTGGGTAACAGTAGAGGAACCACTACGTTACTTGGGAATCAGGCTAGCAGAAATGGGACCTTACCATTCAATGGCTCCAGAGATTCTAGCAAAAATTCTTACGAAGCTTAGAGCTTGGGCAGCAATTTACACCTCTCTGTTTGGTAGACCGCTAATTTTAAACGATTCCATTTTTTCGATGTTGTGGTACATAGGCACGATTTGGACACCACCGGACCAGTCCATTAGGGAATTAAGAAGAAGATCAGCAGCCTTCTTATAGAACAGCAAACCCAAGCAAGCAGAATGTCATATCTAAGGTCGCTTGGAAGCACGTTATCAAGCAGAAAGGAGCAAGGGAGACTGAGCATATTGGACCCGGAGCAGCAGATGAAGGCGCTGCAAACGAAGTGGGTTTCGAAGCTTATCACCCATCCTCAGCTTCCATAGGCTTCTTTGGCTCTAGAACATATTAGAAGACTGGCTATATACAAAACACCTGCCAACATGTCAGGGCTGTATTGGGTAATGAGCAACGGCTGGGCGCGGAAACGTAGGGACGAAGGAGGGGAGATATTCAGGGTAACTGTGTGGAGGGGTGGCTCCTACTGGGAACAACTCCTCAAGCTCTGGGGGAACAACTTCCCAGCAAGGGTAAGGGAACCAAGCTACAGAGAGGAGGTGCTCCGTCAACCACTATTCTGCAATCCCTTGATCAAGGATCAGCAAGGGAAGTCGCGTACCCTAACATCACAGGACTCGAAATGGGGAACGTGGGTGGAACATGGAGTCTGGCAGGTCAGACATTTATGGTCAGACGAGAAACAACGATGGAAGACAGCACGAGACCTTCAGAATGATATGAAGGGCACCCATAAGTTGCTAGAAAACCTGAATGCCATTCTCCTCTCCATCCCACCAGAATGGGTAAATCTGCTAGAGAAGGGGCCACAATGGAAGAAGGGAGACTGGGCCACGTGGTTACACGAGGATAAGTCGGAAGAGGCCAGGATAAGGGGCAAGATGGGCCCGGGGGAGGCATGGTTATTGAGAAGTAGGGACCACCACCAGTCAATTAGATAAGACATCTACTTCCCCGATTACAATCTTAAAATGCGCAGTGCGGAAGGTCAGAATGGTGGAGACGGACAACTACACGATTTATGCTCCAACTACGACTCTGGAGGATTTAGAAGTAGACCCGGCAGAATGGGCATGGAACCTCAGGGGGAGGTCTACTGAGGGTAGCCAGAAGAATGAACATACTTCACTACACAACTAAAACTGGGGTACAGACTCAGAAGGAGGTCTCACCCACTGGCAGAACCACTAGCTATTCGATGGGAAAGGAGGTTGGAAGTGCCCAAGATGCAGGTCGCTCGACTGTCGTGGTCAGCGTTGAGCAACGTAAGGTTAGGCAGGGTCAAAAGCTTACAGTGGCTGATTTTTCACGTTGCGCTCCCAGTCAATTCTTGGTTGTATGAGCGCCGCAGTCACCACCAGAGGGACCAGGTCAACCAGAAGTGCCACCTTTGCACAGATAAAGGGATGGAATTTTTGCTTCACTGCCTGCTACAATGCCCGGAGGAGGTATACGTGTGGGAAGCAGCCAGGGAACTGTGGGGAAAGATCTCAGACGAGGCCTTTTCGGAGGATAGGAGGATCCTCCTCACCGACATGAAGCCTCCGAAAAAATGGCAACCGGGACAGAGAAGAGGGTTTCAATTACTGAGACAACATGCACTGTGGACCATATGGAAACGTAGATGCCAACTAACGATAGGAAGGGGACAAATTCACAGACTGGAGGCCAAGCAAGTTCTGCATAACCTGCTGAAGACGGATATCACGGCCCAATGGCAAAGCGCAAGAAGGCAAGCTCAACAAAACCCGGTGAAAGCCCAGGAGATACTTGAAACTTTTCAGCTGATAGTGTTGGTAAAAGGAAAGATAGCAACAATTGAAGGGCACAAATTAGCCTTTCACTGGTTTGAGCAAGACTAGTGCGCCAGGATCGTTACCATAGCACTCAACTCTAGTCAGAATTTGAAAAAAAGGAAAGATAGGTTTGTCAATGTAGCAACCATCCAAGCACCAGGTCTTGTATTTCAGTGCAGACAGAGAGGATGAAGCGGCGATGGTAAGGGGAAAGGAGCAACAACAGTAGGGTTTAGGGTTTAAGGAGAGGATTTGTGGAGTGCGAGAGAGGAGGGAGAGGTTAGGTAGAGCGAAAATAGAGTCATGATTAGGGTTTAGCATGGTGAGACATGCCACAGATGTTTCCGTTCTTTTGGTACTTCAGTGCAACCAAGGAGTAGGTTTGTCCTTTTTGTCCATCTATTTCATTGTTTAGAATCATGCATATGGGGATGCTGGACCCGATTTCCAGCAAAAGAGAAAAAAGAAAAAGGAAGGCAAGATAGTAGGAGTTTTGCAGTAGTATAGGCGAGCTAGCTTTAGGTTTTAAAGGGCTCAGGGAGCAATAGGAAGAGATAATTAGGATTGAATCACAAGAAACCTAGAGGCTGAAGGAAGAGATAGGGGATATTAGGGATCTGTAGGGATAAATAGAGGTATTATTTGTTCGTTTCATTTTTGTTTTGGCCGTATTTTGTCCAGTTTGTGTTTTCTGGTAGCAGTGAATGGGACGCTGGACCCGGTTTCCAGCACAAGCCCACCTGGGTAAGGGCCCCAGTACTCTCCAGGTTGAGATGTTGAGGAATTCCCAGCCTCTTTGTTTGGACATATAATAAAACTGCACCTTTTTGTATTAAAAAAAAACAAAAAAAAACAAAAAAAAAACGAAGGTGCAGCACGAGCCTGGCTCAGTTGTTACACCAATGAACTGTTTGAAAAGCAGACCTCAGTTCGAATCCAGATGCCATTGGAAGTACTAGAAGAATGAAATAAAAAATGACAAAAATAACCCTGCAAATCTGAATAGCCTGGGGCTGTTCAGACTTGACGTAGATATCTGAATGAGACAATGCCGCTGTCGGGGCAAATACCCTGACAAGGGTATTTGCCGGGGGTTTTCAACATCGGACGCTGTCCGACTCTTTCGTTGGATTGAAGGATTTGATGAGACTGACGTTGCCAAAAGTTTATTTAGACCTGACCTATGACTGAGAGACTAAAAATTTCCGAGCTTTGGTTCGGACGCCTGTGGCATCCAAGAGTAACGACAATAACTGGCAATGCTTCGTTTTTGTCAAAACCGTAGAAGAGCGCGAACATGGAAATGTTGAAGTAAGCCTTATTCTAGCAGCCCCGCGATTCAAGTCCTAAGTAGGTTAAAAAGAGGGATGCGTCGGGTATTGGGCCTCGACGCGGGAGGAATAGGAGGATTTTTATTTCCCGGGGCCGCGGGGTTTAACATCAAGCCAGGGGGTTGACAGGCCGATGTCGAGGCCTACCCGGTTGGGTGACCAATCAAGCCGTGGTCACACGGCCAACCGACGGGGCAGGGCCTGCAAACAAGCCTATTCGGCTTCAGGCAGGCAAGGCCTAAGGCCACAGGTAGGCAGGACCTGCAGCGCCTCAGGCAGGTAGGGCCTGCAAGGCCCC